GTAGGACGACTTGAACGAGGTTCACATCAACATTGTGTGTTTGTTGGTACCGGTTCCACTGTGCTGATCACAGACTGTGACACATTTAGCATATTGACTACTGCTCGCTGTGTAGAACCCATTTGAAGCCTGCCAATAGCACGTAGACGTTCATCATGTTGAAGACGTCTCCCGATCAAATTAAACGTAACACACTAAAGCAAAGATATGCTAAACAGTAAGTCTCATGCAAGATCCGATAGGAAAGAAAACATGGATAGGATAAACCATGACGCGGCAGTTTTCATCAACCCTTCCTTGAAGTGTCAAATTTGACAATAAACCCCTCCCACGTGTATTGTGAGAGAATACATAACTGTTATTAAATTAAAAAGATATTTTAATACTGGATAACATATTTACAGGTACATATGAACATCATTTGGTTGGGTATAATAACGTCTCCTCTCACACCTGATGCAGATTACATTTTACAATTAATCTGCCACATGTCCAAAATGAGTTACAAATGAAAAATATAAATTAAAATATGAATTCAAAATACAATAATAAAATTTAGATCCCAAATGATATTGTATTACATTATGGCGCTATTGCGTGTCGCATATGCAACTCAGTGGTTCTGGTGGAGCGATATGTTCTTCATCTGTGAACATAATTCTCTATGACTATTTTTCATATCACAACCTGCATAGGTATTTGCATTTCAATATCCCCAACTTTTTTGAAGAGTATATAATTTATTTTCCAACCCCCTGTCGACAAAGTTAATCATCAGGAACCACTGTATCCAAATAAAGTTTCACTGTTGTTTCTGTTATAAACGCGATTCAACACCATACATAGAAGCACAAATCACTATTATTGGATTTCTGGTGAAGCGAATAACACAAACTCTATTTGATTTCTGATGGAGCGAATAGCACAAACACTACACGATACAAGCTGGACACGGCTTCTGCTTTACTTTGTCTTGAACATACATTAATTAAGACATTCTACAGTTTACTGCCGTCTACAAGACAAAGGTATTTTCATTTAGCAAATTATATACAACATGCAAGTATACCTTTTCACCCAATGATATACATCTTTAAAATTATACAGCATACTACATACGGCACAAATACCAAATTCTCAAGTACAATAGTTTAAAATTATGAGTATTGTCATCATTTTACCCCCCAATGTTCGTCACCTAGAAGGGGGTTGGATGGCCGTATGGTTGACACGTGGTTTCGAATCCCAGGTTGTACGTGACAATAGGAGTAGGGTCGCCCGTCCAACCTCGTGGGTTTTCTCCGGGTCCTCCCACTGCTAAAGACCCCTACGCGCCAGCGAATCATTGAAATAACATTGAACCATGTGTTAGTCCCGAAATGATCTAGTCTGTGTCGAGTGGACGTTAAACCCCATTTCTCTCTCTCCGTCACCTTGACTTCATGTCAGTTTGACGCTATATGCAAATTAATGTCACCAAGACCATCATTTTCCATTCAAGGACAAGAAAATTGTTATGTCACCAACACTCCATTTGTCACCGCGACAAGAAATATTCACCCAGGCCTTTAAAATTAGACGCGTCGCTTACTCCCTACTACACTTCGAAAATAGCAACTAACAAATTCAGATCTTCTTAAATATCCTACCTCAAACTAAAACTCACACACAGCCTGCACAGCATGATTTCCATGATGGTCCACATCACTCATGGCTTTATTATTGATAACCAGTACACCTTGTTAAATCCAATGCATTTATTTCAGTCTGGATAATCAGTAAACAATCTATGGCAATAAACAAGGTCAATGAGTACATTGAAGAGATAGTACCCAAAGGGGCAATACCTCAACCACCATGATTTTGTGACATATACCATGGTAACTAAAACGCTTTATAAGATTTACTAGATCAATTTAAAGTGTAAAATAGAGAATATTGGAGACAGGTGATTAAAGAAATATATAGGACAATATGAAGTAGATATAAATGGGTGTAATTAAGGTGGGATAAGATCCGTTAAAATATAGTTCACTGAATTAAGTAATATTGTGCGGATTAACACGACGTATTAAACATTTACTGCTTGTTATTTTTAGCGATTTTATTATTTATGTGTTTGTTTTCAGATTAAGATATATATGTTTATATCAGGGACGGATCCAGGAATTTATGCAGGAGGGGGTATGCCAGGTTCCTTGTGACAATGTATCCCCCCCCCCCCCCAGCTTGAATTTTTTTGAGAAATACATGATCTTTATCGTCATTTTCGCGATGCACATTGAGCCTTTTAAACAGAGACATCCAACATTCTGTTTTACATCAATTTTTATTATGAATTAACATGATCACTTTGTGAATCAATTTTATTGATGCAAAGCATTAATTGTGATATCACACATGTCTATATCATTATCTCGCGCTTTGACACCCCCCCCCCCCCCCACTGGATGCGCCCCTAATATTGAATCAAACTTGGAAAGAAAGACTTCTGACTGTTCTGCAACCGAGGGTACAAGAGTTGTAAGCAATAATGCATCTGAAAGTCGTGAAATAGTACGTGTCATCAGTCATGAATTACCTAATTTTCCTAATTGGTGTTATCCTAATCTGGAGCAAGTTAAGAGATTATTTGTTGATAACTGTTGTGACTTGTAGATTTGGTCAACTTTGGATAGCAAGAAACAGTAAAAATATTAAATGTCTTTCAAGTTTACGAGATTAATTTAACTGCAGAAGTGCTGTATTCTGGGGGTTGTAGCTTGTTCCAACACTAACGACGAAAACTCAGATAAATAGTTAAAATTGTACTTTTAATAAACGAGTGTCCAAAACTAGCTTACAGTCACAATAACGAGATAGGTATCGCTAGGGCGAGTCGGTTATCAGACTAAAGTTACAGTACAATATAGAACATATATACAAGCTTAAGATTAAAAAAACTATATAGTAATATTAGATCAGAAATGTTAAACTGTACATAGGAAACAGATGTTTAAATACGGAAAAAGATAAAGACATAGCAAGAACGCGTGTCAACTATAATTACGTAATATATAGAGGATATTTGTCGTTTTGTCGTGAATAACATATTTTATTTCATCGAGAAGCAAGAAAACTTATATTTTCACGAATGCGTAGCATGAGTGAAAATATAAACGTTTTCTTGCTTAGAGATGAAATAAAATATGTTATTCACGACAAAACGACAAATGTTCTATTTATTTTATGATTTTACAATCAATTTAAGGTCAAAACAACATGGACTACTGCTAGCCAGTGGAATAACACTTTTATTTCACTGATAAAACGCGGTATTCCACTACTGATCATAAAATAAATATCGTTATATTAAGTATGAACCGAAACTGTTAAAAGACTTGAATGATTAGTGATATATTAATTTGGTCAATTTCTATTTTGAATAAAATTAAATAGTAATAAAATATATACAAAGATACACTATAACATAACATTCCTGAATAGTTTATCGTAATCATACTTCTTGAGGCTGTTCAGTCCACCCCTTTAAAGATCAAGGGGATCACGTGGCTAAGTGGGTAAGGCACTGGCTCGCTAGCCTAGAGGTTGGGTGTTCGATCCCTGCATTGGCCGAGAAAGTTCATCCAGATTTTCCGGCGTGATTTCCCCTTGTCAGTGATGCAGGATGAGGCGAAAAACCGAGGTCCCGTGCAATTAGAATGCACGTAAAAGATCCCCTGGCAGTTGGAATTCGATATAAGAGTAGGCGATAGTGCCGCTGCCCGGGCAAAATTTCCCTCATAGCACACTGTATGGCATATGCCCGTCTTCATTATCCCAGTATAGGAGCAGAACAGTAGAATGTTAAACCCCATTTCATTTCATTTCATTTTTAAAGATCAATGTGAAAAACGACAAATAACCAACAAGTATTAAGTTTAACCCATATAGTTAAAATCATTATTTTATGGGAATGTATGAATTTAAGAAGTATTCGAAATTTAACGTCCTACTATTCTCGACCGACTGGGTCGAATTTTTAAAATAAATTAGTTCTCTCCTCTGTTTCATAGAACCGACCCTGAATCGTGTGTTTAATTTCTTTCAAGTCTTTTAAATGCATGTAAAAATAAATCTTTTTAAATAAAATACAAAGCACGTGTGTATAGATATGCGAATATAGATATAAACTACAGATAAATATTAGTATGACATATTAGACGTTCACATAATCTGAAGTAGGGTCTTCCTTTGCAATGATTAGTTTAAAAGTGAGGTCTTCCTTTACAATGTTTAGTTTCACCCTGTTGTGATGCACCCGATCCGCCTATTATTAGCCTGCTAGTAGTAGAAAGTTGTTAGTCGTTTTTAGATGCTGTAGAGGTCTAATATTTGTACAAACGAACCTTTTAATTAAAAGTGCATATTTGCATTTTGATTTATTAATAACTTTATTCTAAAACATCAAATAATGAATAATAAATGCAGTCTGGTAGATCTTTATTTTAGTCTACTTTTTTGTTGTTTCTTTATTATAAATGTAGAAAACACAATGTGCGTAAATATAATTATTAAAGTTTGCCTTTAGTTATGTTTAGTTCAGTGGTTTTTAACCTTTTTTGGCACCGGCACACCTTGAAACACATGAAAAAATAGCAGCACACCTGGCTAAATATATATGATAAATATTTGAATTTTGCAAATAGACGGTATATAACCGTAGACACAGACTAGTCATAGAGAATCACTGGTTTAGTCCGTGAGAGCATATTTTAAAACCCCGGAAAATATGTTTTATATTTCTTTATTTTCACACAAAATAATTAATTTAATTTCATCTGGAATGTCTTGTGTTGGCTTCTCCGGGACAAGAACTTTATACATTGTTACGCTACTATCAAATAGAATTAAGAATATGTATCCGGAATAGAATTGGTTGGGGTTTGAGGTCTCTTCAACGCTATGCTTCTATCAATTTCCGCGAGCTATATTGGTATTGCACATAAAGTTGTTCTCATAACATAGACTCGTAATATCCTTACAGGCTATACTATTTTTCTTCCTAGTTGCAATGTAAAATTTATGCAAGTTTTATGCAGTTTATTCATATCAGCATAGTCGGTGAAATGGCGTCTATGTCTAGTCTGTTTGTCTTTATTTTATTATTTCAAGTGTTTCAGATAAAAGGTATGTTGTATTTTTTATGTTTTAGACCAAAGTCATTTACTTTATATGTAATTAAATTATTTTAATATGCACTCATCATTTTCAGGATTGATATCTGCATATTTTTTTTTCATTATGGGCGTAAACTTTGTGTGTCAGTGGCTCTCTAAACGATTTATTTATATACGGGTTGTTTTACACTTATTTTCCACAAACATCTCATGACGATCTGAAAGCTTTTGCAAGAAATATATTTATCCTCCAAACTTAATTCAAAGGGCAGGGGTGAGGAATAATAAAGTAAAAAAGGAGATTTTACTCATGACTTATATTAAGTTCTTGCAATTTATATATTATATAAATATATTGCAAAATATATTATATGTGGCTGATTGTATTTTGATTTAAATACGGTCTTGATGACAGTTGACTATGCACGAGGAACAAGTGCCCGTGGGGGCACAAATAAAAACCAATAATATTATATCGTTAAAGCGGCGAATACACGTTCAATAAAACCATCAATATTATTGACCCAATATATTGACTCGATATATTGACTCAATAATATTGACGGGAATTGCCCACACACGATTGAGTATTTCCATCAATAATTTCATCATTTTTTGGTCATTTTTCAAAATGGATGCAGCGGTCACTGTTGCGCTACCCATGGCAGTTGACGAAGAAGAACCGCGAAAAAAACGATGGAATGAAAATATTGACGCAATTACTGACAGATTCTTCACACACGATCAATATTGTCATTCAATAAATTGACCATCAATAAAAACCAAATGGTTTGATCCGTCAATATATTGACGCAATGATGGTTATTGACAATATTTTATATCAATATAGCCCACACACGTTCACTATTATTGAGTCAATATATTTAGTCAATAATATTGACGGAATTATTGAACGTGTATGTGCCCCCTTAAGGTGGTGGGGTCCAGGGGGTTCTCTCTCCGAAAAATTATGGGTTGTGTGGAACATGTCTGAATCAATTTGTATAGGAAACCTGTCCCGTTATATGTTTGACAATTGTTGAACAGTACAATAAGGATCCGAATCTGCTTACAAGCAACAATGAATACACTTGATCTTTTTCCATTTGAGATTGGGTGCAAACATTCTAAACCGATGACGCAAAACGTGACATTGCGTTTCTTTCATTTAGCCACTGAATCTAGAGAAGTTAATCATCTTAGTATTTAATCGGGTTGATTCTGTTTTAATTCAATTAGTCTTGGGACAAGCTCTAGGCTATTAAATTTTCGTTTACCAATTCGTCCTTCTTTTATTTGATTATTATAGAGGAACAAAATACATCGATTATGTTTCCACATTCGCTTCATGTATGGGCGTACGATTATGTGCAAATCAAATCAACACATAAAATCTCTCCATGCTGAGACTCTGAATATTTTATGAACACAATTAGCCATCCCTGATCATGTTTCTTGTGCGTGTCATGGTTACTTCATTTACAAAATGAAATAGCAACTCCGACAAACTGCCTTTGTAAAAATATATTGTAGAAAATCTGCACAAAAAATGTAAATCAGCACTGAACCAAAACACATGTAGGTCTTAACAATAACCAAAGCGGTGCTAACGCAATATAAACAAGAACAACGACTAAAAGGGGTTTAGACTTTGCCATCCTTTATCCGTGAACTTTTAGATTTTCACTTTTTCGACTTTGGTAGTGCTTATGTATAGGCTTTAATAATTGAGTTGCTACGTCTCGGTGTTTGTTTCTTTTTAAAACCACTCAATGTATCCAAACCAAATTTAAAAGATATATGTTGCTTGGTCTACTCCACCGGGCCAAATTTGGAGATTTTGTTCTTTTTTTTTTTATATCTAATTATAACTTTGGCTTTAAGATATATGAGCAGATGTGTGTTAACATGTAGACATTTGTTGATAGAGCATTATTAATATGAGGATTGTCTACCGTGACCACGTTATTTCTGATCTTATTAAATTAAGACTAAGTCCAAGTAACTTCTATGTGATTTATTAAACATAGATAATTCAACAAATATTTACAAGATCCGATTCGTTCTAAACCATAGCTCACTCTATGTTTGAAATACAATTCTACATAATATATACAGAGGTTATTTATAGGAAACTACACACAGCTATGACATTGAATATAAGCCAAATATAAGTTCCCTATCCCCTAGTCTGTGGTGAAAGTTCCGCTCTTCTTTCTAAGTCTACATGGTGATCTCCCTCGGCCCCTAACCCGAGGCGACTAAAGGTATGTCCCTCCAAATGATGTCTTCACCCTAGCCTTTAAGCCGAGTAGCCTGTGGGTATGATGTTCCCCTAGGAACTTCGAATGATGTCTATTTTGGGGAAGTGTTTGGGCACCGTTTTACGTCAACATTATTCTATGTAATTGAACTAATCTGTGCACAAGATGACTGGACGATAGTACCCTACTTTCAGCAATTGATGGCGACATAAACTGTCTGTGAGTTATTTGAAGAACGTTGAATCTTGCAAAACACCTACATAGCCCAATATATTTAATATATTAAACAGAGCACCTTACATAGAACTAAAATAACTCCTATAGCGTTACATTATGACATAACCCCTATAAGGGGATTGGATGGCCGAATGGTTAGCGCGTGCTCGCTGTATCATAAGTTCTGTCATTGGGTCAAATGGCGGGGTTTCGATTCCCCGGTTGTACGTCTGTAAAAATATTTTAAACAGAGCACCTTACATAGAACTAAAATAACCCCTATAGTATTACATTATGACATAACCCGTATTTGCCATCCTTTATAGGGGGATTGGATGGCCGAATGGTTAGCGCGTGCGCGCTGTATCATAAGGTCTGTAATTTAGTCAACTGGCGTGGTTTCGATTCCCCGGTTGTACGTCTGTAAACATTTTTGTTGGTCTTAGTGTTAATCTTAGCTTATTAACATTTGGATTCCCATAACTATTTACCTGTAAATAAAGATGAAAATTGTTTTAAAACTATTTGTGTGATATAATTAAACGCTAACATACTAAGACTGTACCGTAGCATTGTACTAAAGTGTTGGACTAAGGACCTAAAAATTCCATTATATATAACTGCTGGATTCGAAAACGTTAACATAATGCTTTACATTGAAGGACATGGTATAGTCTACATAAAGATTGTACAGTAGGCTATAAATAAACTGACATCAAATGGGGTTTAAGGTCCAAGTCTTCTTCTCCATCTGGGCTAATAAAGACGATAATAACCTGAGAAACGGAGCCGACAATAAATTTGTTTTATATTTCAGCCCAAATTAAAAATGTAGCCTTAAGTAAACCTACCAACCAGAGATCTACTCTAGAAGGAGGTGTATCATCTAGAGCTGTAGATGGTAATACTAATGGTGTTTATAATGGGGGATCATGTACACATACACGACAAGGTTCACCTAGTTGGTGGTGTATTGATCTACAACAAGTATTCAATAACATCAATATTAACATATATAACAGAAAGAACAGTAAGTTAGCTTTCAACATTTACTAGTGACATTTGGTCGACCATACTATACTCTTGTTGGTCTTAGTGTAAAGTAGGGGATATTCAGAAACAATACAAAACTACGGAAATGCACTGCTGTTTTTATTAGAGGTAAACAGTGTATGTTAATAACAGGCTAATTGCCTACACATGAACATAAACAGTTCATATGGGCGGCTTATCTAACGGCCCCATTTTACTCGCAAAGAGAAACACCGTCGAAAGTGGAAATGGACGTTTTTGATTGCTCCACCAATCCTCAGACATTCAGCAATTTGTCGTGGCATGCTCCTAATCAACCGTCCAAACACAATTTGGGGCAATCTGACCCACTCCTCTTGCAGTGCCACGGTCAATTCTTGCAGTGTTCAAGTAAAAAAAATCATTGAAAATCAATATACTTGTTCGTCTCAAGATCTTAAACTCTGTGTATCAATCTGAAGTCAATCGGATGAAAACTTTAGCCTCTAGAACGTTACAAGATTTTTCAAAGTGATCAAGGACCATAACTCAAGATGATTCTTCGTCTCATGACCTCAAACACTGTGTATAAATTTAAAGTCAATCGGATATTAACTTTAGCCTCTAGAGCGTCCACAAGATTTTTCAAAGTGATCAAGGGCCATAACTCTGGCAGTAATTATCGGAAATCGCTGAAAATCAATAGAGTTCTTCGTTTCGTAGCCTTAAAGGAGCTAAATCGCTAACATTTGGGACCTAGAAATTGACAAAAGTGGGTCGCAACGCATATAATACTGTAATATGGATGTATAAACTGATTTACATTCAATGGTTTCCGTTTTTACTCCAATTTCAAATCATTTATGTTCGGCGAAATAAGCCAGCAGTCTCAGGCGAGTGCAAATGTCTAGCGTCTGGTTATTCCAGTCTACATTCGCCGTTTGATTTGGTGCAATGTGTCTAGCCTCGTCCCTCGAGTCTCTTGATACAACTGGGGCTGAAGCGCATTATGGTACACGATTCGTGTACCAATGGTAAAATGTTTATTTTGCCTTAAATATTCGATATCAAAAGCCCATCTTTTCCCGTTAAGATCACAACATGAATGTTGATTTAATTTGACAAATAAATCGTGTTTTCAATGTTGAAGATTTTGGATGATATTGAGTTAGAGACTTAGCTACTTTAAACTCAATCGGATATTAATTTTAGCCTGCAGAGCGTCCACAAGCAATTGTGGACGCCGGACCGACGGACGGGTGGACGGGCGGGGGCGACGACAATATACGACCACATTTCAATGTAGGCGTATAAAATTTCTACACGGTGCCCAGGAATCGACCACTTAAGTAATAGTCTATGTGTTTTGGACATGGGTGTAATAATTTACAATTATGTCCACATTAGGCGTAGGGACTAACACAAATATTCTTTGTCGTGTGGGTCTCCTCAAGGCAAACAATAGGTATATTAGCCGATGCATTTATACAACTTAATCCTTCCCAATACGTTGTACATTGTTCAGTCAGCAATTTGCATGACAAATATTAATGTTTTTTCAAGGAACGTAAATTTCTTCCTGCTAATAAAATTGAACCTCATAGATATTGTATCTCAATTGACAAATTCTCGACTGATAATAATACTTACGGGGACGTGCTTTCGCGGCACACAACAAACATTTACAAAAATAACCATACATGTGACCATATCCAATCATTTATTTATACATGAAGCGCATATGGATATTTATCTCCCGATATCAATGTATCAGAAGTTTGAGTAGTGATCTACAATAACAGCTTTCAACATACTGTACGCAACGGTCATGGTTAATTGTAATGTTTGTAAACACTTTAGATAAGTGTAAAATGCGAAGAGGACATCAGCATCATTAATTCAATTATAACGTATTTAAATGGATTTTGATTCTCTTTACTTGATATCCTTTCGGAACTATTTCGTTGTTTGTTAAAAATTGTAATTACCATCTTGTAAAAATTATTCGTGACAATTGTCAAAGTAACCACAATGACTCAAACCGAGAGACGAAAGAGAGCGGATATGCTATCATTAGTGACGACTTCTTGTATGGCACAAACGTGTTACTAGCACTTCTATGTGGCCTACATTTTAATAAATAGTGCATATGAAATGAAATGGGGTTTAATGTCCTAATTGCCAGCCTATGGGGAATTTTGTCCCGAAAGCGGTGTTTCCGCCTACGTTTCGTCGAGATACAACTTCCAGGGGTTCTTTTACGTGCATGCGCCAACGTGTAAACATGACCTCGGTTTTTCCCATCCGAACGACTAGACACTTGCAAATCTCCCGTCCAGATCACTTACAAGGCGAACCCATGTTGAAAAACAAGAGTATATAGTTCAATTAAAATAGTGTATTTTGTTTTACAGATCAAGGCAGAATACGAGGATTTGAGATAAAGTTACGATCTGATGATCAGTGTAATGAACAAGGATTTAGATCAGCTACATCATGTTATATAGATACACCACCAACAGTACAAGATGTATATACTATAGATAGATGTAATCAACAACCATCTAGATCTTTATCTGCTAGAACAGTGTTTATCAGTGTTACTGGTATACTTACATTGTGTGAAGTTGAAATATACACGGGTAAGTTTCGTTACTTTATCTGCCAGAACGGTGTTTATCAATGTTACTAATATACTTACATTGTGTGAGGTTGAAATATATACAGGTGGGTCTCTTTACTTTATTTACAAGTTTGTCCAACTTTATAAGTAGGTTGTGATATGCGATCAGTGATATAGTTATACATAGAATGACTATACATTTTAAAATTTTCAAACTTGATTAAAATCGAGAGCTGGAATATCAATAGTACAAAGCTAAATTTCATGTATTAAACAGAAACGAGAACGTTTGGGTACCGTTTTACGTCAACATTATCCTATGTAATTGAACTAATCTGTGCACAAAATGACTGGGCGATAGTACCCTACTTTCAGCAATTGATGGCGACAGAAACTGTCTGTGAGTTATTTGAAGAAAGTTGAATCTTGCAAAACACCTGCATAGCCCAATATATTCAATATATTAAACAGAGCACCTTACATAGAACTAAAATAACTCCTATAGCATCACATTATGACATAACCCCTATAAGGGGATTGGATGGCCGAATGGTTAGCGCGTGCGCGCTATATCATAAGTTCTGTCATTGAGTCAAATGGCGGGGTTTCGATTCCCCGGTTGTACGTCTGTAAAAATATTTTAAACAGAGCACCTTACATAGAACTAAAATAACCCCTATAGTATTACATTATGACATAACCCGTATTTGCCATCCTTTATAAGGGGGTTTGGATGGCCGAATGGTTAGCGCGTGCGCGCTGTATCATAAGGTCTGTAATTTAGTCAACTGGCGTGGTTTCGATTCCCCGGTTGTACGTCTGTAAACATTTTTGTTGGTCTTAGTGTTAATCTTAGCTTATTAACATTTGGATTCCCATAACTATTTACGTGTAAATAAAGATGAAAATTGTTTTAAAACTATTTGTGTGATATAATTAAACGCTAACATACTAACACTGTACCGTAGCATTGTACTAAAGTGTTGGACTAAGGACCTAAAAATTCCATTATATATAACTGCTGGATTCGAAAACGTTAACATAATGCTTTACATTGAAGGACATGGTATAGTCTACATAAAGATTGTACAGTAGGCTATAAATAAACTGACATCAAATGGGGTTTAAGGTCCAAGTCTTCTTCTCCATCTGGGCTAATAAAGACGATAATAACCTGAGAAACGGAGCCGATAATAAATTTGTTTTATATTTCAGCCCAAATTAAAAATGTAGCCTTAAGTAAACCTACCAACCAGAGATCTACTCTAGAAGGAGGTGTATCATCTAGAGCTGTAGATGGTAATACTAATGGTGTTTATAATGGGGGATCATGTACACATACACGACAAGGTTCACCTAGTTGGTGGTGTATTGATCTACAACAAGTATTCAATAACATCAATATTAACATATATAACAGAAAGAACAGTAAGTTAGCTTTCAACATTTACTAGTGACATTTGGTCGACCATACTATACTCTTGTTGGTCTTAGTGTTAAGTAGGGGATATTCAGAAACAATACAAAACTACGGAAATGCACTGCTGTTTTTATTAGAGGTAAACAGTGTATGTTAATAACAGGCTAATTGCCTACACATGAACATAAACAGTTCATATGGGCGGCTTATCTAACGGCCCCATTTTACTCGCAAAGAGAAACACCGTCGAAAGTGGAAATGGACGTTTTTGATTGCTCCACCAATCCTCAGACATTCAGCAATTTGTCGTGGCATGCTCCTAATCAACCGTCCAAACACAATTTGGGGCAATCTGACCCACTCCTCTTGCAGTGCCACGGTCAATTCTTGCAGTGTTGTCGGATTTAGCTGTTCAAGTAAAAAAAATCATTGAAAATCAAAATACTTGTTCGTCTCAAGATCTTAAACTCTGTGTATCAATCTGAAGTCAATCGGATGAAAACTTTAGCCTCTAGAACGTCACAAGATTTTTCAAAGTGATCAAGGACCATAACTCAAGATGATTCTTCGTCTCCTGACCTCAAACACTGTGTATAAATTTAAAGTCAATCGGATATTAACTTTAGCCTCTAGAGCGTCCACAAGATTTTTCAAAGTGATCAAGGGCCATAACTCTGGCAGTAATTATCGGAAATCGCTGAAAATCAATAGAGTTCTTCGTTTCGTAGCCTTAAAGGAGCTAAATCGCTAACATTTGGGACCTAGAAATTGACAAAAGTGGGTCGCAACGCATATAATACTGTAATATGGATGTATAAACTGATTTACATTCAATGGTTTCCGTTTTTACTCCAATTTCAAATCAGTTATGTTCGGCGAAATAAGCCAGCAGTCTCAAGCGAGTGCAAATGTCTAGCGTCTGGTTATTCCAGTCTACATACGCCGTTTGATTTGGTGCAATGTGTCTAGCCTCGTCCCTCGAGTCTCTTGATACAACTGGGGCTGAAGCGCATTATGGTACACGATTCGTGTACAAATGGTAAAATGTTTATTTTGACTTAAATATTCGATATCAAAAGCCCATCTTTTCCCGTTAAGATCACAACATGAATGTTGATTTAATTTGACAAATAAATCGTGTTTTCAATGTTGAAGATTTTGGATGATATTGAGTTAGAGACTTAGCTACTTTAAACTCAATCGGATATTAATTTTAGCCTGCAGAGCGTCCACAAGCAATTGTGGACGCCGGACCGACGGACGGGTGGACGGGCGGGGGCGACGACAATATACGACCACATTTCAATGTAGGCGTATAAAATTTCTACACGGTGCCCAGGAATCGACCACTTAAGTAATAGTCTATGTGTTTTGGACATGGGTGTAATAATTTACAATTATGTCCACATTAGGCGCAGGGACTAACACAAATATTCTTTGTCGTGTGGGTCTCCTCAAGGCAAACAATAGGTATATTAGCCGATGCATTTATACAACTTAATCCTTCCCAATACGTTGTACATTGTTCAGTCAGCAATTTGCATGACAAATATTAATGTTTTTTCAAGGAACGTAAATTTCTTCCTGCTAATAAAATTGAACCTCATAGATATTGTATCTCAATTGACAAATTCTCGACTGATAATAATACTTACGGGGACGTGCTTTCGCGGCACACAACAAACATTTACAAAAATAACCATACATGTGACCATATCCAATCATTTATTTATACATGAAGCGCATATGGATATTTATCTCCCGATATCAATGTATCAGAAGTTTGAGTAGTGATCTACAATAACAGCTTTCAACATACTGTACGCAACGGTCATGGTTAATTGTAATGTTTGTAAACACTTTAGATAAGTGTAAAATGCGAAGAGGACATCAGCATCATTAATTCAATTATAACGTATTTAAATGGATTTTGATTCTCTTTACTTGATATCCTTTCGGAACTATTTCGTTGTTTGTTAAAAATTGTAATTACCATCTTGTAAAAATTATTCGTGACAATTGTCAAAGTAACCACAATGACTCAAACCGAGAGACGAAAGAGAGCGGATATGCTATCATTAGTGACGACTTCTTGTATGGCACAAACGTGTTACTAGCACTTCTATGTGGCCTACATTTTAATAAATAGTGCACATGAAATGAAATGGGATTTAATGTCCTAATTGCCAGCCTATGGGGAATTTTGTCCCGAAAGCGGTGTTTCCGCCTACGTTTCGTCGAGATACAACTTCCAGGGGTTCTTTTACGTGCATGCCAACGTGTAAACATGACCTCGGTTTTTCCCATCCGAACGACTAGACACTTGCAAATCTCCCGTCCAGATCACTTACAAGGCGAACCCATGTTGAAAAACAAGAGTATATAGTTCAATTAAAATAGTGTATTTTGTTTTACAGATCAAGGCAGAATACGAGGATTTGAGATAAAGTTACGATCTGATGATCAGTGTAATGAACAAGGATTTAGATCAGCTACATCATGTTATATAGATACACCACCAACAGTACAAGATGTATATACTATAGATAGATGTAATCAACAACCATCTAGATCTTTATCTGCTAGAACAGTGTTTATCAGTGTTACTGGTATACTTACATTGTGTGAAGTTGAAATATACACGGGTAAGTTTCGTTACTTTATCTGCCAGAACGGTGTTTATCAATGTTACTAATATACTTACATTGTGTGAGGTTGAAATATATACAGGTGGGTCTCTTTACTTTATTTACAAGTTTGTCCAACTTTATAAGTAGGTTGTGATATGCGATCAGTGATATAGTTATACATAGAATGACTATACATTTTAAAATTTTCAAACTTGATTAAAATCGAGAGCTGGAATATCAATAGTACAAAGCTAAATTTCATGTATTAAACAGAAACGAGAACGTTTGGGTACCGTTTTACGTCAACATTATCCTATGTAATTGAACTAATCTGTGCACAAAATGACTGGGCGATAGTACCCTACTTTCAGCAATTGATGGCGACAGAAACTGTCTGTGAGTTATTTGAAGAAAGTTGAATCTTGCAAAACACCTGCATAGCCCAATATATTCAATATATTAAACAGAGCACCTTACATAGAACTAAAATAACTCCTATAGCATCACATTATGACATAACCCCTATAAGGGGATTGGATGGCCGAATGGTTAGCGCGTGCGCGCTATATCATAAGTTCTGTCATTGAGTCAAATGGCGGGGTTTCGATTCCCCGGTTGTACGTCTGTAAAAATATTTTAAACAGAGCACCTTACATAGAACTAAAATAACCCCTATAGTATTACATTATGACATAACCCGTATTTGCCATCCTTTATAAGGGGGTTTGGATGGCCGAATGGTTAGCGCGTGCGCGCTGTATCATAAGGTCTGTAATTTAGTCAACTGGCGTGGTTTCGATTCCCCGGTTGTACGTCTGTAAACATTTTTGTTGGTCTTAGTGTTAGTTCTTTTCATAATAAGGTAGCAATTTATGGATTATTTGATTGGTTAAATGCAAAGAGTTGTTCAATGTATATTTCCATATTATTAAGTATGTAACCGGGAATGGAGTCTACATCAATAAGCTAGAAAACTGCGTATAGACAATAATCTGTTGACAGCTGCGTTTGCAAAACACCCCATTTAAATCACAAATTATAAACAAGTTAATTACGACTTAAGTAAATATTTGCATAACAGCGAAATCGTTTAGGTCATACTGCTATATGGCATCAATCCCCAATTACATTATAGAACCAGCGAACGTGGCTTGCTCTGTCGTGAATTAAAACAATTATATAAGTCATTTGTATCAATCAATTTATTTTACTTAAAATGGTCACATATGGCCTTTTTGGGTGGTTTTTTTTATTATTATTATGTTTAAATTTTTAAAGATATAACATAAATACATAATTTGATGATTTTAAAATTAAGATCATTGTTTTTAGTCAAATACTGAAGAATCTAGATCTGATAGCAATATACCCACCTGTAATTTGACAGAATGTAGTCGGTCTCAAAATAAGTGCAGTCAGTTATACATCGGCGACTAAATATACTCTTCAAAAAAAGTAGGGGATATTCAGAAACAATACAAAGCTGCGGAAATGCACTGCTGTTTTTATTAGAGGTAACCAGTGTATGTTAATAACAGGCCAATTGCCTACACATGAACATAAATAGTTCATATGGGCGGCTTATCTGACGGCCCCATTTCACTTGCAAAAAGATACACCGACCGTCAAAAGTGAAAATGGACGTTTTTGATTTTTGTCTTAATAATGAGTAATTGCTCCACCAATCCTCAGACATTCAGCAATTTGTCGTGGCATGCTCCTAATCAACATTCCAATCACGATTTGGGGTAATCTGACCCACTCCTCTTGCAGTGCCACGGCCGATTCTTGCAGTGTTGCCGGTTGACGTTGACGTCAACGAACACGCCTCCCGGTCAAATTAAACGTAACACACTAAAGCAAAGATATGCTAAACAGAGAATTTCATGTAAGAACCGATAGGAAAGCAAACATGGATAGATAAACCAGCAAGCGGCGCTGCGGCAGTTTTCATGAACCCTTCCTTGAAGTGTCATATTTGACAATGAATCCCTCCAACGTGTATGGCGCTATTTTTTGTCGCATGTGCAGCTCAATGGTTCTTCATCTGTGAACATATACTCTCAAAGCATGTCAAATGTCCATGACTACTTATCATTATCGCAATCTGCATAGGTATTTGCAGTTTAATATCCCCTACTTTTTTTGAAGAGTATATATTAATGAGATAAACAAACAATGCCAAAATAGAAGGGAAAAATCCCAAATAATTTGAATGAATATCACAATACGCGCCAGTTTTTCAAAGCTCAAATTAGTAAAAGGTGTTATGCGTTCAGTAGTAAAACAGAAGTGTGACCTGACAGACACGATCGATCTTGACAAAATCGCCGATCGGTGGTCAAACTTGACTAAGCGCGGACGCTTGATAAAAATATCTTTGCTAATTTTTGTATATTCACCACAACAATATATTGAAGATATAGGTCCATGTAAATGATGTAATTATTATCACGTATACTATTACTATCTCCCTGATAATGTCTACTACATCGTTAACACAGTTCATCGCGTGCATTTTGCATACCGATAGTTCATTGGTCAATCACGCTATTTTACCGACATTTCGCCTAATAGTTTGGATGCAGCTATGGCGGGTGTGGCGCCAGGCAGGGTAAGCTTACTCTTCCGGGCACCTGTTACCACTGTTTGTCGTGTATTTTGTACACGAGGAGCAGTCCATTTGCTGAATTCCCATTCGTAGTACTCAATTGTTACTCATTTTATGAGTGTTTTCTGACCATCAGAATTCTGAAAATCCTCCCCCAAAGTCCAAGAAAGGGCATTAGGGGCCTGTGCATCAGTTGAAACCTTGTCCATTTTTATGCAGTCGACGTCGAGAAAGATCAGCTATAAATGATGAGTACACATCTTTCATAGCATTCTATAACGAATTGTGCTCGGAAAAGGCCCTATACAGCCCAGAGATAATTCCTTTTATGTTTCTCGAATGTTCCTACTTTATACAGAATAATCATGACTATTCCAGTGTGCTCTTCCCCAGCTGTGTGGACTTTCATCTGGTTAAAGCTGATCTGAGAAACTCGATGGGTGAATAGCGTCTTAGGGGCTTGCGATGATATTATATTGAACGTGCATTGGCTCAGATTGACTTCGGTATCGTGACTGATAAGTTTGCCAACGTAAAACAGCGCAAATTCTGTTCACTTTGCATTTAACACCGCGCCATTTAGATGCAATGGTACGATAAAAATACCTATTATGTCCACAATTTCTACTGATATGATCCTGTTTATTGCATGTCCAACAAATATTTGAATTTCACCGAAAAGGCCGACTTCTTTAAAAATTGGAACCATTTGGATAAAAGGGTGGTTTGTTTAGTATCATGAACACTATTTATTGAAATTGGTAAACTCGGTAGTGGCCTACACCCATTAATTCTTTGTCCATAGTATTTCTGGCATTTTCTCACTGGCCTAGGATGGTCAACTTCCATTGGCTCATGATTATTTGTAAAACCTGGGGTTGAATTTTGATTTAAACGTTACGCAAATCTGGCTTCTTGCACAGTTTTTGGATTGTCTTGAATTAATTTCATTTTGAAACGATCATCTAACAATCCCAGCTGATTTTGACTTAATTATCCGAGTAGTAACTATTCAACATTTTGGGCCCGATTGTATATTATCAACCACCAGCTGCGGTAATAAGATTAAAGTGTGGGGGGTTTCTAGGGATTTAAGCTGCGTTCAAAAGTACATGGTTTTTCGTAACATCTGAATGACTATATACGTTGTCCTTTGCCAGACCCTCAGTTCTACACCATTGACAAGAATATCCAGATGAATCTTCTCAGCCAACACCGGGATCTAACACAGGATCTCCAGGTTACCGAGTCGACGTCTTACTCATATTAAGTACTTATAAAATATATGTTAAAACAAGTACAACATGTGGTAACAATTTTAGAACGATAGATCTATGTTTGTTATCGATAGCCCATAATTGATCTGCGCGTGATGAAATGACAAGAGGCGCCACAGTTGGGGCAGCTTTTCAGAAATCACTTGAAAGTTTTGTTTTCGGTCAAGAGATCCTTGAAATTGGATCCATTTTCGTAATGCAACCCATAAAGTGTCCCTAAAATTCTAATTACCAAGGGTCTATAAAACTGTAATTCGTCCATTCATTCCTTCATTCTTTCTAAAAATGTGCTTTTAAAGAATAAAATTCTGTTTCATTGAGGACACTCTGCAAGACGAACGGATGAAAATGACGCTATGTAGATATTCGAAAATATTCGAATCTGGTGATTGCTATTCGAATATTATATTCGATGAGCGAATATTCGTGCCGAACATTAATTTACAACACATGGCTCATAGCACACTGCATGGCGTATTCCCGTCTGCATTAGCTCAGTAGGAACAGAACAGTAGAACGTTAAATCCCATTTCATTTTCAATTTTTTAAAAATGGTATCATTTTAAGCTAATGCGGTGGAACCTATTGTACTAGTTAGTATTTTATTGTATATTTTAAATCTTATAATCCCCCTTGTTGTTTTAAAGATTATTCTAAACGCTACCTTAATTAGATGAATTCTGGTATAAGCTGTATTGAGGTATTAGCAAGTATTGTGAGGACGGCGTCTTAAGTTACAAACAACAAACTTTAATTAGTGTTTAATCTAAATTGGTTGCTATAAACTAGTTCCTAGGAATGCATAATGTAGCTATAAAAGGAAGACATCTAGTAGGCTCCTCATGAACTTGCTGTACATCTAATAAAGTGTTTGTTTCATTTAAGACTTATAACCAGAGAACTTTAGCTTTTACTCTATTCCAATGAAAGTATTTAAAATACAAAAGTACATTAACAGTTACTTTTATGAAGATGTTAAAACAAGGGTGGTGTCAGGTGTTGTAGAATATATACCTGTAAATTTTTTATACTTGGCGATTCCTGATTCGAAGCAGATTAGGCCTGCTAACGTCAAAGAAGGAAATTTAACATTTTATATTACGATATTCATATGGGCCAGCATTTGTATACGTAGCTTATTTCAACCTAATGAGACCAGGCCCGGGTTTCACAAATCATTCTCCGACTTATGTTATACCCCCATCAGACCAGGGTGACGTCCTTAATACGCTGCTACGGTGACGAAAAATGGTTTCAGAGCGCGTCAAGAACGCCATGTGTGGTG